GGAGGTACCCTGTGCTTTAATCACACTCCCACGACACACCCAACCCTCCACCCACCCACAAAAAAAAAAAAAGGCATCGGAGTTTGCTTGCTACATCGGTCACGCGAATAGAAATCCTGATTATTATCGCTGTATCTAGACTGCAAGTTGCCTCAAATGCAGCTATGATGCCCAGGCGTTCTATTCGGGCGAAGATGGTCAGGATTGTGTGAGACGTTCTTTAGAACTATTTTAGCCATCGTCTTCCCCTCAAGAGTCCGCAGTTTGGCTGTTCACAAAACGGAAAAGAAAAAAGAAAAAAAAAACCTGAGGTGCAGGACGTGCTGGTCAATGAGAAGAAGAGTGACTGTGTGTTGAGCAGACTTGGTTGGTGCAGAACCATGTGAATCTGCGTGTATACTGTACAGCAAAGAACAAGAGGAAGGTGGAGCAGGGGGAGGGGAGTGTGTGATGTCATGTGCAATATGAGAACTGCCAGGGGATGGTTGAAGAAGAGACGAGCCCAGGAAGGGTGTGCATTGTCTTCGCCATGTCAAGAGCGCGATGAGACAAGAGGAGGGGCAGACGGGCACAGAGGCACACACACACACACACACCTGTCTCTTATACACATCTAGATGTGTATAAGAGACAGGAAAGGGGGGAGGGAAGTTGGAGAAGAGAGAAGAGGAGGGAGGACGTAACAGAACTCTCTTTCTGTCTTTTGAAATGTAAACAGACCCCGCCCCTGCAAGTTCCCCCCCCCCCCTCCTCCCCAATTGTCTCTATTCAAAATAAATAAATATTAGTATTATTAAATGAATGAAAAATAAAATTAAAAAATCATTACTCCAATCTTCGAAGCCCAACGAAATAGGGCCTCGACACGCCCACCACACCACTGTCGAAACGAAAAAAGAACGAATGCATCTTCCCCAGAAAGTGGTCAGATTCATCCGTTGCTATTCGTAGTAACGGATGCATCTTGCTATTCTCTGTGGGAAGATTCACTCTTCCTTTTTTTTGTTTTCGACACTGGTGCGGCAACGCCCTTAGGACCCGAGTCTAGCTGTTTTACAGCTACGGTGCATTTTTTTTCTTAACTGTTTTCTGTTGCGGGATGGTTTTTTTTTTTTTTTTTTTT